GACATTTTTCTACATGGGCCATTATTATGCTTCACCAGAGTTGGCTAACTCTGAGTAGAGTGTTCCTAATGCAATGTTTTTCAGCATGTTGGCTGGGAACTCTGCGAGTTGAAGTCCAGAGATCTTAACACTGCCAAGTTTGATAAACACTGTCTAATGTATGTGTCTATGTGTGCAGGATAATATATAAAATAATAACAAAGAAAAATGGTAGAATTGGTAACTTCCTGATCCTTAATCTGGAGAGTTAAATTTAAGGCAATTTTCTTTGGCACCAAACAGCCCTGCAAAGATTCCTTCCTTCCTTCCTTCCTTCCTTCCTTCCTTCCTTCCTTCCTTCCTTCCTTCCTTCCTTCCTTCCTTCCTTCCTTCCTTCCTTCCTTTTCTGGAGGTATCTTGTGTAACCATTTTCAAGCTGCTTTAATTTTGGTTGAGGTGTATTTTTAATTTAGTTTCAATATATTTTATGCAATAATTGCTCTGTATTATTGTCTATTTTAGCATTTTAATAGTTTGACATGCTCCACATTCATAATAGAAAACTATGAATGCATATTGCATAAATAAACATGAAATGCAAATTACAGCATGGTTTTCGAATGCATTTAGTCTTTGAAAAATGTACTTGGCTGATTGGAAATGCAACTAAAAAGAACAAAGAAGTCTAAATTGCAGATTTAATCCAAAAACCCTTGCAGCTATCAGGAACTTTTAATAAATGTCAACTTTGTGTGTTATTTGTGTTCAAAAACACACATTTGAGATGACAGTTTGAAGGAGTGCTGTGACATTCTGGGGCAGACAGCATTTTGCTTTGAGAAAAAAAACAAAACACTTGCTTTTAAATGATGGTTAAACATTAAGATGGTTTCCCACCACACACTAACACATGTTTAATGCTTTGAGCAAAGTGCTTGGATGTATTAACTCATTAATAGCCTGGAAAGCATTGCATCCCTTTTTCAGTTCATTCCCTCAGATTCTGGTCATCTCCTATATCAGTGTTTATCAACCTGAAATGTCAATTTATGCAAAGCTCAGAGGACTGCGTGTTTATAAGATTGTTACTGCTTTGTCACTTCATTGCTGCAGAAACTGCATTGGTTACCAGTCTATGCAACTGAAGGTACTAATATTTAGGACAACCCCTCCCCTCCAGCAGGACCCCTGATCCCGAATGCATTTACATCCTACCGTTTTCCTTACAACATATAAAATGCTAAATATTTTCAGCTGGCTTTTTTCACGTGGCAATTGATTAATATGGATTTTTTTGCGGTATTTAGCGATACGATCATATAACTCCATGAGCCTTGGCAGTGGAAAATCAGATAAAGAATTAAAAAGATGCCAGCCAAGCACAAGAAATTACCTGGGGGATAAGTAATAAGTATTCTTAGACTTATGCTCTCAATTGGGACCAGAATTTCAGTTGCTAAGGTGGCCAGTTGCTAAATAAGGTGGTGGTTGACTCATTTTCCAACATGGTTGTTAAGCAAATCACTATAGTTGTGAGTGAATCGTTGTTAAGTGAATCCAGCTTCCCCCATTGACTTTGCTTGTTGGAAGGTAGTTAGGAAAGTTGCAAATGGTGATCACATGACCCCGGGATGCTGCAATCAATGTAAATACATGCCAGTTGCCAAGCATCCACATTTTGATCACATGACCATGAGGAGGCTGTGATGATCGTAAATCTGAGGACTGCTCATGTCACTCCTTCCAGTCCTGTTGTCACTTGAAATGGTCACTGCACAACGAGTTGTAAGTCCAGGACTACCTTTACTAGTTGTTTTTATCTACAGAGATGGGTTGCAATCCCCATAAATTGGTTCACCTGCATATTTCAGGCAATCTGAAGCTCAAATTCTAAATTCTAAAAAAAATATAAATTAACCAAAAAAAACCCCAATCAACAAAAACAAAATGTTCCCACAAGGTTATTTAAGCCTATTTAAATGCTTAAATATAGTATTTGCTTCTGTGCACGTTTCTTATTATATTCTCTGCGGGAAGTTCACAAAGACCAATTATCCCATTTAGGATGCCACGGCAAATGTTCTTTTCATTGTTTTTGCTTTTGATTCCCCCATGGAAATGATTTAAGAGCAATACTGTCAGAGCAAAGGACTCTCTTGAGGGACAATTAGCAAAAGAAAGCAAACCAGCTCTGCTTACTATTCTTTTCACCTGACTGGAGAATTTCTCAAAAGAGCTTCATTTGACTTTTGAAGTAGGAGCAGCAGTTTCCCTGGATCTTCCTCACTTTTACATATTTAGCTGGTTAAAATTTTGTCATTCAGTTTTTGGTGCTGCAAAGTCATGCCACCAGCAGAATAATCCCAGTGAAACCACAACGTGGTCAGATTTCAAGCAAGCTCAGTTTGTTTCAGATTACCCTTTTGTAACTAAGACCTAGCCTCATCTGTTTTGTGTGAAACTGATGGTTGGATTTGTATAATTGCAAAGTAAGAAAAAAAGCCTAGTTATTGTGTAAGTCACTAATTCATCCTATGTTGTGTGTCTTATTTTCAGGGAAACATGGTACTATTGAGCAAGGTACCACCTATACTATACCTGTGCATTTGGTTTTTCTTGCCCAAATGTAAAACATTACTTTTTTCACCACTGAATTTCAAGCTTCAAGTTTGAAGCTTGCATTGCAAAGGTTGTCTGAGATTGATTTTTCCGAACATAAAAATTAATGCTGAGCTTTTATTCAAAAACAAAGATTTAGAACAGGAGGCGAAGTCTTGGGTAGTGATATCTGAGTACAGATAAACAGAGCATATATCAGCAAAACCAGCTTTCCTTTTCAGCTTTTCAACAGATTCACTGTGCTTTATTTCATTGCTAGGACAGTATATTCTTGAAGTATCTTACTAGCTTTTCTAAAAAAGCCCATTGAAGGGAAAAAAGAACACTCTAAATTTTCTTAAGCTAGAGTGATTTATGCTTTTAGAGAGTTTCTCCATACCCTATCAGGATTATGTAACCTATTGCAATTAGAGCAGCGGTTCTCAACCTATGGGTCGCGACCCCATTTGGGGTCGATCGACCATTTTTCAGGGGTTGCCAAAGGCAGCGATCCGCCATTTTCTCCCCTCCGGGGGCGGAGTCGCGCATGCACGCCGCACATGGGGGAGCCGCCCCCATGCGCGCCGCGCTGCGCATGCGCATAACGTTTGTGTGACGGGCGTCGCCGTCACACAAACTTTGAGAACCGCTGAATTAGAGAGTCTTACAGCTCTTGATAAAACAAAAAAACACCATAATTAGGCATTGATAAGACAAACCCTGGGCACAATGGTTCAGTGGTTAAAAACACTGAGCTTGTCAACTGGAACGTTGATAGCCCGGGTTCAAGACTCAAGTGCCAAGCAATGGGCTGAGCTCCTATTCCTTGCCCTAGCTCCTGCCCACCTAGTAGTTCAAAAGCATGCAAATGCATCCACCATATCAAGAATTACTCTGTTTCTGTTGGAGATGGCATCTTCCTGATGCACCTCTGGGCTGCTAGAACCACTGAAACAAACTGCTAAAATACATGAGGGGAAGAGTCTTCAGTGCTGTTCCTATGTCTGCCTCTCCTGCCTTTTTATTGACAAAACAACTCACTGTGTGTAAGAGACAAAGGAATCTTCCTTCCTTTCTTCTTTCCCTCCCTCCCTGTTGCTTACCTCTCTCCAAGATATTGTATGGTTTAGTTATAAGTAAGATTCTTTTGTCTTCATCAGCTTTTATAGCAAAAGCTTCACAAGCTTTTATTCTAATAGCATTATAAAATTAGCATTCATTCATTCATGTATAGCTAGCTACGTCCTAAAACCTCAAATATAAGCTGTTTTTAATGGGATGTTCTGCTATTTAATTGCTGAAAGTCCTTTGGGCAGTCTGCTTATATATATTCTCTAACAAGGGCTTATCTTGAATTCAAATCTCCAATCTCTCCTCCCACATAAGCCCCCTGAGCTTTCTTTAAAAAATAAAGGATTGGCAGCTCCAACCCAATGTGTTCTATAGAAGGAGGTCTACCTACTTCAGAAAAATCTGGCTAAATATTCTTTATCTTTCTATCAATCCTTTATCTAGCTAGATCCTTTAGATAGGAAGCATCCTATAGGATAGAAAAGGGAGTAGAGACAGAAGGCAGATAAGCATCTTGATTCCATGGCAGCCATTTTATGAATGGATGGATGAACTCTCAAAGCAGCCATTTTGTGGAAAAGCCCAAAGATGTAATAATCTCAGAATGATTGGTTGAAAACTTTCTCAGTAACTTTCCCTGAGATTCAGCCAGCCCCTACCCTCCTAGCCTTCCAAAAAGTCTTGAAGACTTGCCTTTTCCTCCAAGAGTTGGGGTAACATGTGGCTGAGCCCATTATAATTGGTGGATATGCAGTAATCTTTGTGTTGAGGAGCACCAGGAATTTCTGCATTTATTTTTTTTACTGATTTCATTGTTTGTGAGCAAACAGAAATCTATTGACCCATCTATAACTAGCTCATTAAGTAGTTTGGAAAGATATTTTCTGGTTCTATGGAACAGAACTAGGAAATAAGTAATCTCCTAATATGATTCTTTTTAGAAATCCAGAGGTTTAACATAGATCAGAGAGGCAGGAAGAGACAAAAAAAAAAAAAAAAACCCTACTAATTCACAGGGATGGTTTTAACTATTTGCTTAGTTGGAAAAGAAAGAATTCTTCTTCCAATGGAGAACTTGCATATCATTGCCTAGAGATGCTTGTTATTTGGATATATCATCATCTTTTGCATTAAAATGATTTCTCTCATGTACCCTGTGGATACCAAATGGTTCTTGCTATAAAGTACAGGTGATATATTTAAGCAGGGTAATGCAAAGACTTGAGAGGCATTTTGGAATGAATGAATGGATATATATCTGAAGTCCAAGTTACACAACAGATTTTTAGATGCATGCCTAAGACATTTGAAGAATTTCTTTAAAAGTAGAAGCTGTAAATATGGTACACACATATTTATAAACGTTTTATTATACCAAATGAATTGGTAAGCCAGAATTGGGCTCTCTCTTGAATAGAAAAATAGATTAATAGGAAAACTGATTTTGATATCATTCTCAGAGAAAGCTATGATTACAGCAGCCTAAAAACTTAGTAAGTACATACATAAATTAAATACATTACATAGACCAAACTTATAATTACAACCCAACCAGCTGATAAAAAGTACAATGACTTCTTGTTATGGATACTTACTAGATATTTTGCCTATGTATGAGATGATGATATATGATGATGATGATAAAGAAGAAATTGATGATTTTGATGAAGTTGCCAAATCAGATTGGAATAGTACTGTCAACAGTGGAAATTAGAGATTGGATATGAACATGCCCAGTTAATTGTATTTGCAGCACAATTCCCATCTTCCTTTTATTTCAAAGAAATAGGCCACCCAACAATGGAATATTTATTTTCCAGTTATGGGAATGGATCTCGGCTACTTTTCTGCCAAATTTCAGACAATGTGAGAAGTTGGCTGCTATTTTCTTTACCATTTGGCTCAATGATGAATGTATTCACAGCTGAGTCCCAGAAAGAATTATGCTTTCATGATTCAACTTATTTATCTAAGATCAATGCAACAAGAGAGCTACTGCTTCAGGCTAAAATAGCCATAACTATTAACTTATTAATAAATTGAATGAATACTTAATAATGTTGTTTGGATTGGAGAGGGAGGAAAGAAAATGAGAGACAGTGGTACGTAGGCTGTTTTTTTCTAATTAATTTACATACTAATTTGCTCTTGAGCAGTCCTGCCATTGATGAACGTACATTTGAGTCATACCATCTCAGCAAAATTAGCTGGATCACCATGTGCATTCTTAAGAAACAGAACATATGATTTATTGCATGATATTTTGGCAATGAAAAGCAGAGTTGTCATAACATGTTATTGTGGTATTCTCTCATAGCTGCCAGATAATGCATTTCTCAAATATTGTTATCTTCCTCTGTTACCATCAACACCTGCTCCTCCTCCTTTTTTCCTGCATCTGATGGTTTATCTAACAGTAGCTATTTAGTGTGATAATGGCGTTTGACAGATTGGATACAAACACCATTGTCACACTCCAAAGCTCCAGGAGGAGAGAAGTCTCGGAGGAATGAAATATTCATAATGCTAGATTTATGGAAAACAGCCAAAAGGACCTGCAATGAAGAGAAAAAGGGTCGAGATCAGAAATGAAATGAAGACAAATGGGAAAAAAAATATTATCAACAGAAATGGCACCAATTTTTAAAAGAGAAATAGCTGTGGACTAGTTTAGAATAAATTATAAACTTAACATTAGTGGCAACATAGATAAATTATTTTACTTCTTTTTTGTTTACACTCTTTTTATTTCTTCCTTTTTATTGTTGTAAGTCACCTAGAATAGACCCACAGCAAGATAGGCAGCAAATAAATTTAATAAATAAATAAATAAGCAAACTCTTCAGTGACATAAGATTTGCCTGGGACTGAATGGGTTTCTGTGACTGTGCTGTTCTGTGCCGATCAAAGTCACTTTATAGCTGTTGAAGAAGAAAGTTATGGTATGCTTGTCAACATTTTTGCTTAGTCAACTTTCTTTTTCAACGTTTCTATTGCACTTTTCAACCTAGTCATTAAATTACTAGAATATAGCAATCCCAAAGGTGCTTTTTCACAAGGCAACTTGTTTTTCTTTGAAGACATATCGCTTCTCATCCAAGAAGCTTCTTCAGATCTGACTGGATGATGGGGAATGGAAGGATTTATACTCCTTGCAGACAACTGGTCATTTGCATTCTCTTAGAGAGTCACTGAGGCCACTCACTATATTCTAAGAAGATTTGGAGCTACATGGTAGACCTCAGAAAAGGAGATTCTGAAGAACCCCGATGAAAGGAAGGCTATGCAAGGTCTTTAAATCTTGAAGGAGAGATCCGTCCAAGTTGAAGGGGAGGTCTCATAAAATACGATACAGAGGAGGCTATTACAAATAATTCCAACAAGAAGGAAAAAATGGAAGAAATTTAAAATGTTGATACATGAAGAACTCTCTGAAATGCTGCTATGGAAAAGAGACACATATAAGAAATGGAAGGAAAAAAAAACATAACCAAAGAAGAATATGAGGGAGACTCCAGAAACAGTAAGGACAATGTCAGAAGGCTAAGATTCAGAATGAATTGAAGCTTGCAAGAGGTACCTAGAAAAACTACAAATAAGTACTTTGGCTATGTTAGAAACAAGGGGGGGGGGGAATCAAAGTGATTGCAGATGCCCTGAGAGGAGAAACTGGCAATGGTAAGAAGGCAGAATTTCTCAAATCCTGTTTTGAGACATTCGTGTCTTAGAACAGTGGTTCTCAACCTGTTGGTCGGGACCCCATTTGGGGTCGAACGACCATTTCATGGGGGTCGCCAAACAACGCAGTCTGCCATTTTTTTCCCTTTTCCTTAGCTGTGCTACTCCCTTTTATTCTATTGGCTTTTGAAAGCCAATAGAATAGACTTTCTTGAATAGAGTCTAATTCTATTGGCTTTCAAAAGCCAATAGGAATTGTCCAGGCTGTCTCTGCCCTGCTGAGCCCACCAAAAATCCCATTCTGCAAACGGTGCTGCACCAGTTGAGTAGTCCTCGACTTACCACCGGTTGAGTAGTCCTCTACTTACGACCGGTTGGGGGTCGCGGCATTAAAAAGGTTGAGAACCACTGTCTTAGAAGAAAAATGGAGTTGGTTATTCCATTGAACTACAATTTAGGATAGACAAGGTGAGGGTAAGAGTGAACTTAGCTAATTTAAATTAATTCAATCCTCCAGAGTCACATATTGCAGACTCATCAAATAGGGTGCAATTCACTTAACAATTGCTTAACAATGGAAATTTTGGGTTCAACTGTGATGGTAAGTTGAGGACTACCTGTAATATATTTCTAGCATCCAAGTATTATTTTGGTATAATAATAGCAGTAAATAAAATCTCTGTAAATTGCTGGTGCAGAAACGACTCTACTGCAGAACAAAAGGAACATCTCATGAGATAGAGATAGCTTAACAGTGTTTCAGCAGGAGTGCTTAAAATCAGATTCAGCTTGATTTAACTAGTCAGAGCAGTAAAGTCTTAGCTGTTACTAACACTTCTTGTGTCCTATAATTTTTATTGACAAAGATTTTTATACTTAAAACTACAGTAACGCAAAGAGATAATTGGAAGAAAAAAAAGTATGAAAAGATAAAAGAAAAAATGAAAATGAGTAAATGTCAAAGAAAGGGAAAGAAAAAGAGAAATATACTTAAAGAAGTGACTTCTGATCTTTGCAGCAGTTTCAGAAAATGATTATTACCATTTCCACCCTCCCAAATTACATACCTTCTTCCCTTCTTTCCACAAACAATTCTTTTTAATCAGTAAATTCTGAAAGAACCAATTCATTTTTCTCCCTTTTCAGAAAAAAAGTTCATAAAGTCTTTTCAGTCTTTTATAAAAGCAGTTATTTTTCCTTTCCCAACCACTAGCCATCACTGAGTGATTATATATCAGTCTAATTTCCAAAGCACCTGAAGGCAGGACAAGAAGCAACGGGTGGAAACTAATCAAGGAGAGAAGCAACCTAGAACTAAGGAGAAACTTCCTGACAGTGAGAACAATTAATCAGTGGAACAGCTTGCCTCCAGAAGCAGTAAATGCTCCAACACTGGAAGTTTTTAAGAAGAGACTGGACAGCCACTTGTCCGAAATGGTGTAGGGTTTCCTGCCCGAGCAGGGGGTTGGACTAGATGACCTCCAAGGTCCCTTCCAACTTTACTACTATTACTATTACTAATGATGATTGGATGGTGCTCAAACAGTGTTTCTCAATGTTCAGCACTTTAAAACGTGCACAGCTGGTTGGGGAATTCTGGGGGTTGAAGTCCACACATCTTAGTGTTGTCAAGGTTGAGAGACAAGGATATCATGTCCACTCTAGCCACTATTTCTGGCTTTGAAGAGATGTGTAATACCAGGCAGCATAGCTTTCGGAAACAGAATTACAGTATACGTATATATTTACTACCTAGCAAACTACTTTAATGTAATGGTTATGGCACTGGACTAGAAAATGGGAGATTGTAAGTTCTAGTCCCACTTTGGGTAGAGGTCAACTGAGTGACCTTGGGCCAGCTGCTCTCTCAGCCCTAAGAAGCAGGCAATGGAAAGCCACTTGTGAAAACACTGAACTCAACCTAATTAATAATCATTACTTTCTTTCTCTCTTCCTTTATTATTTTGGAGTTTTAGGCATCAGGACTGGCACTTAAAGTCACTGACCTTAATATCAATACACTATGCATATGTAATCAATAAAAGCGAAGAGGCGTTTAAGGAAACTTCCAGGATTTTTCTTTTGAATGGGTAATTCTCAATGCTCTTAACCCACACACTCTGCGAATAGAAAAAGAAACAGAATTTTAAAAACTGAGGATAAAATCTTTAGTATCCTTTTTACTTTTACTTTCTTTAAAAAGATATCCCACTTGAAGATTGAGCAGAGGGTTTTTTTTTTTTTTTGCATTTTCCATTTGCAGCACTTATTTTTCTTTTCATTCGAATTTCAATAGTCCTTCGGAAAAAAATAAAATAAAGAACAGTCTTTAACCAGGCTGATTAAAGTGCTATTGTGAGGAAAGGCCATTTCTAAAATAATTAGTTTTTGCTAGGAATCAGCATTTCCTTTTAGTAAAGGTCCACTTTTTATCCTTTTCTTCGTGAAGAAAACCCAGTGAAAGGAGATGTTTTGTCAACCTTTTGAGAAAATAAAATAGAGAATTTATCAGTGAACTGAAAGGTAATGTTATCTCGCTATTGTTGAAAGCTTGGCTTTCAATAAGGTGGAAAACCTTTCTTCTCCCTGCCTGCCCCATTTGATTGAATGCTTCTAAAAGAAAAAATCAAGATAATTGAAGATAGTTTGGTTGAGAATCAAAGACTGAAATAATAAAGACATTCAACTAAACCAGAAGAGAATGCCCTAATAATGTTTCATCTGAAACAATCACCGGTTTGCATCCATGCATACAAGCCTTTGCTTGCAAACTTAGCAATAAAGTGTAATGAAATTATTTGCAAAAGATAATAATAGAGCATTTATTTGAATGCTGAAGGTACCGGATTCAATTCCCAGGATGTCTAGGGAAAAAGATCTTTCTCTTACTTGAAGAGCCACCACTAACAAATAACATTAGACTCGATAAAAAAAATCTGATGTAATGTTCAGTCAGATTTGTGTGTGTGTGATCTGGATTCCTCAAACATAGATAGTTCTGGTGAAGAACTAGCCCAGTGATGGCAAACCTTTTAGAGACTGAGTGCTCAAACTGCAACCCAAAACCCACTTATGGATTGTCAAGTGCCAGGTGGGTGTGGCCAATTGGGTCGACGTGGCTGCGGTGGTAACGGCAGACTGGGTGGAACTAAAAAGTTCAATCAATTCCAACTTTGCAAGATCTTTTTTTTTTCCCACAAGAAGTTGAAATTGACTGATTGAACCTTTTTTTTTTTTTTTGCACATGGTGGCGGAGGCCTAAAGCGAAAAGGTTTTATAAAATCCAGCTGAAGGCCTAGGACTGCGGCGACGGCACACGTACCCACAGAGAGGGCTCTGAGTGCTGCCTCTGGCACCCGTGCCATAGGTTCGCCACCACTGAACTAGCCCATGTTCCTGGCTTTTTTGAGCCCCTGGTTGGCATTTAAAACCTGGGGTCAAAAATGGCAAAGATAGCATATCAATCCAGCCTTCTCTATCTCCCCTAATTAGTACCTTCAATTGAGTTCTGTCAATCCCCATAATTCCCAATCAACAAGATCTTTGGTACCTGGAAATTATGACCAAAGTATTTGGAGAACACAGCATCCAAGAAGGCTGAACTAAATAACTAAATAACAGGGGGGGGGGATTAGTTTTCTTTCAGAAACAGCTTCCAGATGAGAAGGTTATAGTGCAGTGGTTCTCAACCTGTGGGTCGGGACCCCATTTGGGGTCGAACGACCATTTCACGGGGGTCGCCAAACAACACAATCCGCCATTTTTTCCCCCTTTTCCTTAGCTGTGCTACTCCCTTTTATTCTATTGGCTTTTGAAAGCCAATAGAATAGACTCTCTTGAATAGAGTCTAATTCTATTGGCTTTCAAAAGCCAATAGGAATTGTCCAGGCTGTCTCTGCCCTGCTGAGCCCGCCAAAAGTCCCATTCTGCAAACAGTGTTGCACCAGTTGAGTAGTCCTCAACTTATGACCGGTTGGGGGTCGCGGCATTAAAAAGGTTGAGAATCACTGTTACAGTACAATCCTCCAGTTATATTCAAGGTTTTCTTTTTTCATCAAACTTTGAATATCTCCATGTGTTGTCTTTCAAATTTTTCTCCCAATTTTTTCTCAGCATTTTTCTTTCTAGTAAGAATCTTTTAAGGAGGATCAGATGGAAAACCTGTACAATGTCTTTGGACTGACAGTGCATGGAACCTCTCTCTTACTTATTCTCAATGGCCAAAGTGTATTTACACAAGGAAAGAATTAGGCTCTTTTCTCACTTGAAATTTTCAGCATTGCTAGAGTTCCAATATCACATGACACTGGCCTTATCCAATTTTGTGTTCTAAATAGCCTTATGTCAAGCCTTCATGCTTCATTCAACACCAAACCATGTGTTATATAAACTCCATTACTCTTTCCCCTCTTTGGGGAAATGGAGTTTTGTGTGACCTGCCCAGTTTTGATTATTCATTGGGTAGGAGATCAACCAATCAGCATTCTCACAGTATCCTTAAACCTACCCATCCATCTCCTGTACAAGAAAGGTAATCTATTTTACCAGCCAGTCTAGTCAGCAAGGAGGATAAGCAGTAAATCACTGTCCTGGTAAGTTATGAGTAGTGCTGAGCTAGGCAACACACCTTTTATACCCCCCTCTCTGGAAAAGTAGGACATACTGTGCACACAAGCAGAAGTGTCCATGGAGCCTCAGGGTCAAAAAAGCTAAGATGGAAGCTGCAACCATATGATCAAAGTCTGCCTATTTTTTAGACATATTGTCCAATGTACACATCTAGTTTCTTCACATAAAAAAGAGGTAGATAAGTAAGTTTGAGAAAGGAAGTTCTTTTTGGAACAGATAAGTTAGAATTAGACAGTTATTGCAGCAGATAGCCTGAGACTCAATAATTGTTTAGAAAGAAATTTAAAAAGGAGTCTACATTAGGTATCCTTGTCTCCTGTTGAATCTTGGACCATAAAAAGGAGCATGCGAGGGAGATCATAGCAGGCATAGCTTAGCTTTTGAGAGGATTGATTCTGCCAAGCATGGATGTTAAGCTGACTTTTATGTAGGCAGTCACCAAATCCAGGTTCAGCACTATATAATCTTTTCCACCTGGTTCATTTGTCATGTCTCTCTGAACTGGCACAGTATCTGTAGTCCTTTTGGAATCAAGGAAAAGCCAAACACAAAGACCTATGAACTTGAATCATGTATGTGTGTACTTGTGCATGAGTGCATGCAGAGGTTCTAACTTGGAAGCTGAATAAGTTGAAGCACAGGAATAATAGGGGAAAATGGCATAGACACAACCTGTAGAATTTATTACCGTCCAAGGAGGTAATGCTATTTATTTAGCCATTTTCAAAATATGGCTGGAAAAATTAATGGGAAATTTGGCTACCAACGACTACTAGCTTTGATTGATATTTACTACCACCTTAATCATTAGCAGTTGCTGGGCATTTCATTGGAGGATGGCTATCACTTTTTCCCCTGAGTTTCTAAGCTTCCAGGATACATCTGGTTGATCATTGTCTGGCCATTTGCCTGATTCCACAGCACTCTCCTTATGTTCTTATGAGGTAAACACAAGAGATGAACAGAACTGCTTCTTTTATGTTCACAAAGAGCTATTCCCAAAATTGGGTACCTTTCTATGAAATCTGGGAATCAGGTTTCCAGACATCTTAAGGCAGAAGATTAAAGATGGACCCTCAAAAATATTTCACTAGAAAATGTGGGGAGGAGTTAAGTGGAATAATAGTGAATAATCTATTCTATAGATTCTTCAAGAGTGGTAGATATTATTATTAGTGGGATGACACCCCAGAAGCCATTGTGTTATAAAAATACATAAACAGAACCTGCGAAATGTGAAATTATAGAAAGGGATGGACAAGCAACTTTAGAGGATAGCTAAAGTGAAATATATCCTGAGACTTAAAGAAAAAAAGAACCAATTAAATGGCTATCAGAAAACATTACTTCAATAAGAAACAAAGTGGATAAGCACAGATATTAAATAGAGGACTAAAGAAATGTATAAATTAAGAAAAGGAATTACAGAATCCACTTCAGGGATCAGCAGGAATTAGATCCATTTGCTAGAGCCTGCTGTCCTCAGATATCCTGGATTATGGAAAATAGGAAGAATATACATTAATCAGCCATAGTGCAGTGAGAAAATACATTGTTTGTTTCTTTGTTAAGTTGATAAAGTGAATTAAGCTTAATTATACCTTGTCACTGCTATCACACAGCAAATTATCTCAATGAAATTACTAAAATGTTTGGGAAGGGGGGCAGAAAGCTGAATCAGCAATGAAACTAAGCTTTAAAAATTGAGAATTTCTCAATTCTTTCTCATTGCATGGAAATCAAGGCCCCATTGTTGTGCATTCGTTATTCAAAGGAAAGCAAGCAGTAAATGAAGGATAAAAACATGTTCCGGTTTATGGCTATTTCAGAACTGTGTGATTGCAAGATGTGTGGCTGGAGAAAGGTTTACAGTATATATAAAATAGAAATCTGCAAATTATTGCTGGTTGTTTCTGGACATCAAAAGAATCCTGCCATCAGGTTCTTGATTTTCCTCTGGTGGAATTTTGGTTGAAAAAATGATGTGAATGCAGAATATTTTTTTTCTGCTCAATCCAATGGAGACAAAATACCAGTGAAATACGCTGATATCTTTGGACTGCACAGAAAAAGCTTCTTGTTGTCATTTATACTGCAATGAAAATATCAAAATGTGCATATTATAATCATCCCTTTAACTCTGATAATGACCAATCAGTTGAATTCCTTGTTAGTAACACAATTGTTTTTGCTATAGCAAGAAATGAGGCATTCAGGGTTTAGTTCTACATCACTGGCAGCAGCAGAAAGAGAGGGAACAATTGTTGGGACTTCATACAAAATCCTCCTTTTTTTCATACACCGGAAAGTCCAACTTGATATTTTCCCAGTCTATAGAGGAAAATCTGCAATCTTGCAAGAATTCACATCCCTGATATCTGGTCTAAGGAATGAATTTTGTTTGCCTCTTTAATCACCCTTTCATTGACAAAAAGGTCCTCTGAGAAACTGGCCTTCCTTCCTTCCTTCCTTCCTTCCTTCCTTCCTTCCTTCCTTCCTTCCTTCCTTCCTTCCTTCCTTCCTTCCTTCCTTCCTCTACTGCTTATTTGTGACCCCATAAAGCAATTGATATTAGGACAGTAAACAACTCTATAAACCCCTATAGGGCAATTCAATAAATATCTCAATCTTATTTTGCCACTTTTCACTTACAGAAGTTTTCTTGAAAACCAAGTTGTTTAGCCTACAAGTCCTTTTTAAGGAAACACACGTATAGAAATCACTCACCGCTCCCCATAATGCTGTACGATCCTGTAGGATTCTCATCCATTTTTTAAAGTTCTGTGCCCTTCATGCTTTTTCTCTCCAAAGCCACATGAGCATCTGTCTCTCATTTACATGGCTGTACATTTACAGTATTGGGGCAGGAGTTCAGAGCGTCTGTTTCTAAAAACTCACTCTGCCTGGCCTTTATGGGATCCAGGGTTCTTAAATAAACAAACCACTCTGATAAGTCACATTAAAATATTGATCCTTGTGGGATGGTTCTCGGTCCTCTACATAAATGAGGGCTGCTAGCTAGAAACAAGTATACATGGACAGACACACAAGCAATAACAACAACAGTAGCAACAATATTTCCTTTCTTTGATCGGAACTGATTTAGAATAACTTGAGGGAAGAAATAAAAGATAAAAGATAAAAAGAAGGAAATGCACAAGTACTTCCAAGCAAGGTAACCCAAGTCTTCAAATATCTGTACATGGAATCTTGTAAAAGGTAACCACTGCAGGTGTTTTAATTTCTGACCTGTAAATTGAGATGATTAGTGGCATCCTTCAGATGCATTAGAGCAGAGGGACCCAATCTTTTGGGCACCAAGGACCGGTTCTGTGGAGAAAGGTTTTTACGCGGACCAGAGCGTGTGTGGTTTTTTATGCTGCCTATATCCCACAGATTGGACTTTGTTTGTGTGGACCAGTTGCTGGCATGCCTTGGCCCAGTACTGGTCCACAGACCGGGGGGTTGGGGACCCCTGCATGAGAGTACAAATCTTACTTCTAGCCATCCTGGCAACATTTTCCCTGACAATAGGAAAGGGCCTTAATATTCTTATTCCTTTTGCTGAAAAAAATTATAAAATATACATAAAGCATTTTTAAAAAAATATCCAGATGCTTTTCAGAAGATGTAAGTCATCTTCAGATCTAGTCCTACCCTTAGGATGATGCCCCATAGTTTAAATTTTAGTTTTATTTTATGACTTTTTGAGACAGTTGTTGAATCATGCAGTCGTTAAATGAAGGTGGTTCCCCCATTGGTTTTGCTTGTCAGAAGACAGATGGAAAGCTAGAAATGGTGATCACATGACCCAGGACAGTGCAACTGTCATAAATTCACCCCAGTTGCTAAGTCCTGAATTTTGATCACATGACCATGGGGAGGCTACAATGGTCGTAAGTGGGGAAAATGGTCATAAGTCCCATTTTTCAGTGCCCTTGTAACTTCAAACAGTCACTAAATGAATGTAAGTCAAGAACTGCCTGTACATAGACCCACTTTTTTTAACAGATCACCATAAAGGTCAACAAGATTGCTAAAATATTCCACACAACTCTTACAGAACACAATGCAAACAACAAGGAGCAGCAATCTTAATAGTTGACTTGTTAAAATGCATAGCAGTCTTTCCCCTATTCTCTGCCATTCCTGTTTTTTTAAAGAGAAATCTAGTGCTCTCTCTAAATCAGAGGTCCCCAACCTTTGCGCCTTGGTGGCCTGGCTGGGGGGGGGAGGAGAGGGGAACTGGGCCATGCGAGTGGCGGGCTGGTGGCATGCACCCATTCACGCAACCCTTGCTGAGTGGCGGGCCAACGTGCATGCATGCAGCTCGATTTGCATGAGAAGCAGGGTGGCATGCATATACACGAGTGTCCGCTGGCCCACTGCTCACGCAAGTTGAGCTGCGCACACATGTGCTCTGACCAGCCACTTGCATGGCCCAATTCGGAATAGGCCTCTGCCTGATAAGGGGGGTTGGGGACCCCTACTCTAAATGGTCTCTCACAAGAGCACTGAATACCAGTTTTAAAAAAGACCTAGCATTGTTCCACTAGAATGCGGAACAAATATTAATAAACAGCTCACCCAACTTGGCATCAAGATCCAGCAAACCGAAGGAGGAGGTGTTTGCAGCAGCTAATAGGAGCTGGGCAGTTGCTATGTCACAACCATCGTGGCTGCCAAAATGTCAGAAATTGTACATTCAGCAAGGTTGGGATTGGGAAACGAAAATTATCAGATCTATATGACATCAACTAAGAATGAAGTTACATCACCCCAGGTATGCACTGGGGAACCAGCTGAAGGTAGCATCCTGAAGACATGTCCTTAAAGCACTGTTTCTCAACTTTGCAACCCTAAGTCCACCCACCTTCAAGTTGCCAAAGTTGAGAAACACTGCCATAAAGGTGAACAAAGCATTTTTGACAAGCTAGGAGAAGAATGTGCAAAATCAGCCCTAAGAGAGGAGGTTTTAAGGATCTTGGACAGTCACAGCATTGGGAAGCATCTAGGGGTTGTGGAGAATTAATTAAAGATAGATGGGAGGCAATACTTTCTGCATTGACAAGGGATTGTGGGGATTTTAACTGTTTTTCCTGTATAATCCCTTCAGCTTTTTGAACTTCCAGAAATATGGCCACTCTACATTAAATGAATCAATAGAATAATAATAAAATAACAGAGTTGGAAGGGACCTTGCAGGTCATCTATTGTAGTCCAAACCCCGCCCAAGCAGGAGACCCTACTCCAGGGGTCTTCAAACTTGGCCCTTTTATGACTTGTGGACTTCAACTCCCAGAATTCCTCAGCCAGGCATGCTGGCTGAGGAATTCTGGGAGTTGAAGTCCACAAGTCATAAAAGGGCTAAGTTTGAAGACCCCTGCCCTACACCATTTCTGATAGAGGGCAGTCAAGTCTCTTCCAATCATTGTTATAGCATCTCAGGATGCTTGTTATTATAAAATTGTGTTTTAGCTGTAGAGCTCTGAAGTGTAGGTAAAATTGGGTGAGGGGTATATACTTTTTTGTCTTTGAGTCAATGTTGATTCCTGGCAACTGCCTCGACAGGTCCCTGCAGTTTCTTGGCAACATTTTCAGAAGTGGTTTGTTCTTGCCTTCTTCCTGGGATTGGGAGAGAGCAATCACTCAGTTGGCTAAAATTCACCCTCTTCCAGTTTCTAGCCAGATGCTTTAACCACTACACCAAACTCTCTCCCACCATAATTTTTCTTCCTCGTTTTCTCTGATGTTTCTGGCTTGTGGAATTTTCCTGACTGGGAGGATTCTAGAAATTCCATGATGAAAAAAAACCTCTTTCATTTCATAACATATAGACAGATTTAACCATAGTTTCAATTGGGAAAATGTGACCATCTTAGACCAAGCTATGTCCAAAAAATGCCAAGGAATTTCTAGAAGCCTGGTACCCTGACAAATCAGCCATCAATAGACACATAGACATTAACAACATCTATAGACTGCGCAAAAGAGATGATGAAGACTATCACCCAGCCCAAATAGGAACAAGAAGAAGTCTCAGGCCTATAGTACAGCATATATTTCAGCAGAAACAAGCCAGGATGGGCAACCTGTGATTCAGAAAATCCTAACCCAATCAGTGATTCAGAAAATCCTAACCCAACAGATTTGGAGGGCATCTGGTTGCTTTCTCTTCTTCAGATAGTGTCCAGACGTACACACAGCAGAGATGCCAGAATCTAATACATAAGTTCTGGCTATTCAGATCCATGGTTTGGATGTTTCTGCAATTTGCAGGTCTCGCCATCTGCTGATGCCCCAGAAGACTCTGTAAAGTGGAGCATAAAAGCTTCAGGATCCCACACAGTCCTTGTTGAATTCCAGGAGCGCATCGTTGCAAAACTTTTCCAACTGCACCAATGCCCTATGTCGAAATAGATAAAGAGCTTTTTTATTTGCTTGCAACTGATAGCAAAGTGGGCAGATGCTGGCTCCCAAAAGAAAGAAAGAAAGAAAGAAAGAAAGAAAGAAAGAAAGAAAGAAAGAAAGAACAAAAAAAAAAGAAAGGATGACCAACTATTCTGGCCATTCGGTCATCAGACTCCAGACCTCTGTGACAAAGCTATTCAAACAAAACTATTCAAACAGATGCCGGTGACATATAGCATAACACACACACACACACACACACACACACCATATATACACACACTGTTTGGTGCTGGGTTTGGTTTCTTACCAGAAGCAGCCAAAAAGGGAAAGCGGTTTTCAATAATTGCTCGTGGCTTTTCATGATCTGCGGCTTAACCATCCCAATGGGCTATATATTGGAGTCTGGCAGAGAACTGTTGCGTAAAAATGAGGTCTCGGCAGGCTGCAAGTAGGCCATAGAGAAAAATGGGTGAATGCTGGGGGAACAGAAAAGAACCTTCAAATACAAAGCAAGCAGCAAACAAAGAGCCCCAACAGTCAAACTGGATCAGGCCTGCACAACTCACTTTCTCTGCAATGAAACATTTTATGGAAGACTTATTATGGCGCAAGACTTACAGAATCAATCTAGGGACCTCTTCCACTTTACCTACTTATTGAACTGTAATTGGCACTGAGAGCATCTTATGCTGATATGCTAAGCATTGTATGGGAAAAAGAGATATTCGCAACCCAGCTAAAAGAAATGTTTATTTTCACCCAAATGCTAAGACATCTTATTTCCCTCTGCTTTTCATCACATATATTAAGGAGGGCATTTCTTGTATCTTTTTTTTTTAATGGAATAATTGGCAGAGTTGTAGCATAAGCATCTCTTTGCAGGTCACAAGGACATCAAAATGGCATTTGCACATTGGCAATGACATCACAACCCTAGTGCGAATGTTGGACAGCCTTCCCTCCAGGATGCCACTGAATCCAGGCCATAATGTGAATTGTTTGGCTGAGACATGGTAGATTGTGTGAAACAAGCCATTTGGGATTTGTAAATCATGGCTTATACCATATCAAAGCCAGCCACTTGTGACTAAAATATACAACTGCTTATTATAACAAATGAACCTAGCCATTAAAGAAACATTATTCCTTTCTTTTCTGGGCTCTCCCTTATGTAAAAGGATTTCCCTTCTCTCCCCATTTCTGAAGCTGCTGAAAATTTTCAAAATCCTGAAAGGTGAAGAGTGTGCATAGATGAGGAAAAAGATTCATCTTTGTGAAAAATTCAGTTTCTGTAGCCACGTGGTAAGAAAGGCTTAGCCTACAGTACCAGATCAAAGATGCAAAATGCCAGATGCTCACTAGATAGAGACAAAGTGCTAATGTTTTCCACAACTCTTTGTTGCCATCAAAGGGTCATTTTTGCAGAGAACAAAAAGGTCAGAAACCCTTTCTGCCCAGCAACCTATAAGGAGGG